ACGTGTGCACATGTGTACGTGTGTATGTGAGTATGTATGTCTGTCTGTATCTTTGTATTTGTTTCTGTGTGTTATGTATTTAGTAAATATACATAAACATGGCTTAGTTTGTTACTTTGTTTTGTATGTATGTATGTATGTATGTACGTATGTATGTCTGTGTGTATGTATGTATGTATGTATGTAAGTATGTATGTATGTATGTATGTATGTATGTATGTATGTATGTAGGGTATGTAGGGTATGTAGGGTATGTATGGTATGGTATGGTATGGTATGGTATGGTATGGTATGGTATGGTATGGTATGGTATGGTATGGTATGTATGGTATGTATGGTATGTATGGTATGTATGGTATGTATGGTATGGTATGGTATGTATGGTATCTATGGTATCTATGGTATCTATGTATGTATGTATGTAGGTATGTAGGGTATGTATGTATGGTATGGTATGGCATGGTGTGGTATGGTATGGTATGTATGGTATGGTATGTATGGTATGTATGGTATGTATGGTATGTATGGTATGTATGTAACGTATGTAATGTTTGTAATGTATGTAATGTAATGTAATCTAATGTAATGTAATGTATGTATGGTATGGTTGTATGGTTGTATGGTTGTATGGTTGTATGGTTGTATGGTTGTATGGTTGTATGGTGGTATGGTTGTATGGTTGTATTCATGTATGTATGTATGTATGTATGTAGGGTATGTATGTAGGGTATGTATGTAGGGTATGTATGTAGGGTATGGTATGGTATGGTATGGTATGGTATGGTATGGTATGGTATGGTATGTATGGTATGGTATGTATGGTATGGTATGGTATGGTATGGTATGGTATGGTATGGTATGGTATGTATGGTATGTATGGTATGTATGGTATGTATGGTATGTATGGTATGTATGGTATGTATGGTATGTATGTATGTATGTATGTATTTATGTATGTATGTATGTATGCATGTATGTATGTATGCATGTATGTATGTAGGTATGTAGGTATGTAGGTATGTAGGGTATGCATGTATGGTATGGTATGGTATGGCATGGTATGGTATGGTGTGGTGTGGTATGGTATGTATGGTACCAAACATATGCATGTATCTTTTGTGAATATATTATGTGGACACAAAATTTGTAAATTAGGATTGATATATTCCATATACATACATATACATACATACAGAAATCATTGTGTTCATATGTGCGCATAGATGTTTTTCTACATACGTGTTTCCCATCAATCCTTATGGATTCGAGATGCTGCCAGACGAGTTTGGGGCAGGGTTTACGAGATGCCCCAACAGAAAATTGGTTCCCAAAAGCCGAAAAGAATAGGCAAGTATTCTTGAAAGCGAAAATGAAGGGCTTAGAAAACAACATGATTGGCTCTTAACTAAACAGCCATTGGATTACTTTTGCACGTTATTATTTTTTAAAAAACTAAAGTACTATTGGCTTTCAAAGTATTATTGAAGTCTGTTCCCCCGCTAAGTTTAACTTCTCTAGAGGCCTCAACGAGGGACAGCACTTGCCAGCTCTGTGGGGCCCAAACCTTAACCAGGTAAGTAGCATGTCAGGCAGAATGTCAGATAGAATGTGGGATGAATTGCCAGATAGAATGTCAGGTAACATGACATAGAATCTTAGAATATATTTCAGGCTAGAATGACAGACGGAATGCTAGATAAATTGTCAGATAAGATAGGATGCCAGATAGTGTGTCAGAATCTGTAAACCGGGCTTTTTTGAACACTGCTGTGCATGTGATCTTTTTTTGGAGTGTACCCAAACATATTTCCGTGACATGCCGAAACCTCCCAGGTCCATGTTGAGTACCAGTTCTGGAACATCACTGGCGACATCATAATCTTCGCAACAAAATTTATATATTGATGCTGAATTTCATCGTCCATTCATACAATTCCTTTTGCAAAACGACCTGAATTTGATGCTGAATGTTGGTGTGATGGTAGATCTGCAACAATTTCTTGGATAGACTCTTAGGAATTGATGGTATTATTCTATATAATATATACATAGGTATACATAGTTCTATAGCCCTTACTAACATAGACCGTACCTGAAATGGCCATTGATTGTAAGTCCGCTTGCCATCCGGATTAAATACAGGAATTTATTCCACAACGCCGCAGTGCAGACCAATCGACTCAATCTAACACGTTGAAAGAAAAAACTGTGGCTTCAGGGCAAAAAGAAAAACATGCAACAAAAGGGGGATGCCTATTTCCCAACCATTATACATATCTTGCGAGTAATGATCATATGGATCCATCTATACACGATTTTAATGATTATATATAAATACCTATTTAACAGGCATTGGCTCTTGTTATATATATAGAATTGTTATATATATATATATAATCGTACCTATATTATATCATATTGGGCTCTGCTTCTTCCAAACACTGCATGGGAACGTGACATGTGATCGCTGAAGCGCTGTTCTTCCCAGATCCTCCAAGCAAAATTTCTGCATGTGGCGAAAGCCAGTGATCCATGACTCGTTAAACCACCTGCAGTTAAGGCCCTTTACCAGTTATAAGTACTTATAACACCATTTATAGAATGTATAAGCCCATTTATAACCAGTTATAACTAATAAATGGCCATAACTGTGCAAAAATAAGGGCCCCAGTTCGTTAGCTAAGTTGGCGAACAGAACTACAACAATAGCAATCAGGTTGGTGGTATACCTACCCCTCTGAAAAATATGAAACTCAGATTGGATCATCATCCCAACTATTGAATGGGAAAAATAACAGCCATGTTCCAAACCACCAACCAGCAATAATGTATGATACGCAAATAATGATAAGAAAGATGGGGTTGTAAACCAACAAACATTTTTATAGAGGGATCCATCCTCTGGGAATCGTTAACGTTTTTTTTTTCGGTTTTTTGCGGTGCAACAGGATGAAAACCCCATCATTCTTGGTGAGCTACTAGTGGTTCATTGGGAAGGGATTCCAGCAATGCATTATGATAATCCAGTGAAACAAAATAGCACAACCATGTAGAACCAGCGACACAATCTAAAATAGCAAATGCTACATCACGACATTCTTGATATCAATCCATGATTGCTGATCAGATCCGCGTTGCTGTAAGATAGTGTCATCATCAAACCACCAAATGGGTCATGGATTAAAATTGGGGTACCCCGGCCATGGATGATTCATCGTACAATATTCCAGAAGTTGTCTCTAGTCTTGACCTCACTAAGCCCATGACAAAGCTCACCCTTCAAAGGCTTACATTAATCTTTGGCTATTAAATCAGGAAGGAGTGGCATCCGGTACAAGAATAGCGGATGCCAGATTTCAATGAATCAAATGGCAAAATTCGATTACAGTTTATATTGGCTTTACCACAATGAAGACAATGGTCACAGAAAAACAGGCCGCCAAATTACAATACTCCTCCCTTTTAGACGAATCTCCCAGCAATAAACCTCTATTTTTCGAGGTTTTTTCCCACGACACACCTGAAGGGATGGTTCCAATGGCTGGACATTGTCACATCGCTTGACTTGTTTGGCTTGTTTGGAACCCCGAAAAATAAATAACATTTAATCAACCAGAAACAAAATCTGGGTTTGACATTGCTTCTCAGTCTGCCGGTCTGGTTGCAAAGACGCGGCTTTCAACCCTTGAGACGCGCTTGGCAATCTTTCGCAAGTGGATTCAGTGCTGAAAGCGAGACTCTGGGAGCTCGGTCGTTGACGCCCACTGAACGAAAGTATCGGGGATATTTCACATATACCTATATCAGACAAACCAGCTTGCAGAAATCTAGAACTACTATTGGCTTTCACTAATTGTGTTGTACGCATACATATGCAAATATAAATATATATATATATACATATACAGTATATAATATTTGTGTTTCTATATATTTTTCCACGAGGCACATAGATGCATATCGCTGCGGCCTAGGCAATTGAATTCCTGGGAAGAGAATTTAAAGAAAATGTCATTTCTCTTTGTTTCTATATATATATATATATGTATATTTGTGCGCAGCAATGCGCATGCATCACAAGCTCTGACTGGGTGAACAATGGGTAGAGCAACCCCAAAAAAATGCCGAAAAATGCGTTTCTACTAGAAGGTTGCATTACCTATCTATTGTTTTTCGTGACTCTATACTTCCTCAACAATCTCCGGTTTTTTAGTCTGATGTTTATTTTTGCAGAATCTTGACCAAAATCCATAGTAACTGGAAGCGAATGACTGAAGAACAGCTGATGGCCTACCAGCTTTGCACATTGTTTCCCTGCGGAATCCCCGTGAGATATGTTGAGATCATCTCGAAAAAACACTGGGATTGGCAATTTTCTGTGAGCGCCTTCTGTAAAGGCTGAGTGTCCCTTAAATAAATGCCATGACAAGCCATGACCAGCCAACTGTTTTTCCCAAAATTCCCATGCCTTGATAATCCAATCCCTCTCGACCCGGATATTCTGGAAGATTCTGGGATTATTTTGGGATTATCTGGGATATTCTGGGATCAATTCCAATTGCATTGCGGTTTGAAAACATCCAAAAGCCACTTCGTTGCTGCTGAATCCCTGCGCCAACCGCCCCAGCATCATGATGCTCGAGCCCTGTGCCCCGGACCCGGAAGGGATCTTCTGAAGGACACAAGGAATGGGACTCAATGACTGAGGCGACAATTTGGTGCTTTTTGAACAAACCACATAAATCCCTTGTAGAGCATCTGTGGTTGGAATATCTAGACATAATCCGTATCATCTGATATATATATATATATTTATATACATTATATACATTATATACACTATATACACTAATACATATATACATATATACATATATACATATATACCTATATACATATATACATATATACATATACATATATTTAAATATAAATATATATATATATATATCTAATGATATGTATGTATGTCTGTATATAATGTATATCATCTGGAATATCTAATTATAATATATGATCCCGTCTTCCGCCCACGAGGTCCGAGCTCTGGGCTTTCCTTTTTCGGTCTTTTTCGAGAGCCGCGACCCGGGCCAGGCGGACCTCGCGTTTGCGTCGGGGACGCGTCGTGCGTCTCGAGTTCTCCCGATTTTCCTGCGCGCCTGCGGGTCGTTGCTCTCTTTTTCCTCTTGTCGTTTTTGGCGCCTTTTCTTGTTTCTTTCCTTCTGTGCCTCTTCCTTTTTTTTGCGCTCCGCCTGCCGCGGCGTCGTGCTGGCTGGCTGCGCTCACGACAGGACAGTTTCTGCCGCGGGCCGAGCCTCGGCCTTTTTCTCTTCCTCAAGGCGCTTTTTCTGCGCCTTTTTTTCGGCCCGCTCTCCGGCTTTTGTTCCCTGCACGGCGGAGCGTTGACTGTCTGTTGCTTTTTCTTTTTGTGTGTTTCCTCGGCCTCCGCCGTTGGAGCGTCGAGGCTTTCGTGGACTGGCTTCAGTACCAGCCAGGCTTGCACCTGGGGTAGCCAGTGTTCCACTGCCTCTTGCGACGCTTTGAGCGCTTTCACCTCGGTTGGCGCAAGTCGGTGCGCGTCGCCTCTGCCGCTATCTGGTTTTGTGGCTGGCGGGCTCAGGCCTGGCGAAAAGGAAGGCGATGTCCAAGCAGCGCGTATTAAGTTACTCGGACGCTTCCTCACTCTAAGTCTGCCTGAGGACCCGGCAAACGATCATGGAATCGAGGAGGGGGGGCTGGGGGGGGGAGGGTCTGAGCTTATCATTTAAGCTCCTGATAAGGCTGGGAAATGATAAACCCATATTAAGGACCTATTAAGGTCTTATTAAGCCTTATTAAGGGCTTATTAAGGCTCATTCAGGGGTTATCCTTTAAGGCCTTATTAAGGTCTTATTCCCCATGGATAGCTGAACTTCCTTGTCCTTATCCAAAGCAATGGGTGATTTGAGCCACAACCCCGAAAAAAGGAAATTGAAATTTTTCCAATGCTTGCGATGCGTGTTCAGGATTTTTCCTCAATTTTGGCAATTTTGGGGATCTGGGGTCCTGAGGGGTCTTTTCGGGGGGTGGGGGGATTCTGAAATAGGTTGCAAGAACTGGCTTATCCAGGCTTATCCAATGCTTATCATTTAAGCCCTTGTTAAGCCCTTATTAAGCCCTTAACCACCCAACCCCCACCCCAAAATCCAGGTCAAATCACTCTCCCAGGCTTTCAATGAACACCCGGAAATTCACCTTTTTTTCTGAAAATGATAATCCTTGCTTATTCATGGCTTATCCAAGCTTATCCAGAACCCCCCCCCAGACCCCCCCGACTCCATGAAACGAGTTTGGCATGGACCGCTGGCCAGCCGTCCCGGCAAGGCGGCACAATCCTTGCCTGGCATGCTGTTGCCGGGAGCACCGTGGGTCCGTGGGTGCGGTTCTGCTTCCGGTGGGCTCTCTTTTTAGATTTTGGCTTTTTAAATTTTGGCCCCCTTGTTGAATTTTGGCTTCTGCAATCCGTGCCCGGACCGCCGGTTGTGGGCTGGAAGCTCTCTGTCTTTTGGCCGCCGCCGCCTGCAAATGTTTCTGTTGGTGTACGGCAGCTTTTCGTAAAAATGTCGTGTCTCAATGCCTGTTTCGCGTGGGTCCGCACATGAGGCTCACGCCCCCCCCGAATGGGATGGGTCTCCAGGTAGCACCCCCCCTTCCCTTCCAGCATTTCTGAGGTCCAGCCTCGTATTTGCTAGGTTTGCAGCGATTCTGACTACCAGCCTCCCATTTACTAGGTACATGCTACCCTTTAGACGACCTACGTAGCACACATACTCCCTCAGAGTACCTACGTGCTACCTATAGTCACATTTACATGTGCTTTTTAGCTACTTCCTATATATAAAAAATATATTTATTAATTTACATGTTATAGATACATACATAAGTATATGTGTATATATGTATATATTTAAATTCATATTCGTATTTAAATATACATATATCTATATATGTGTTCACAGATATACACATATTCACATATATATATATATGTACACATACATACATACATACATACATACATACATACATACATACATACATACATACATACATACATACATACATACATACATACATACACATATATATATAGGTACACATACATATATAATATATACAAAGGCATATATACATATATATACACATGTATATATATATATACATGTATATATATATATACAAATATATATATATATACACGCATACATGTTTACATACATACATAAATATATATATATATATATATACATATATATATATATATATATATATACGCAGTACCACACCCCCACAACACCACAGGGGGGGCGGGGAACATAGCTCCTGTATATCCATACCCATTCCTACTACTCCTACTACTCACTACTACTAACTACTACTAACCCCCCCACCCCCCTACCCACCCACAGGGGGGGCGGGGAACATAGCTCCTGTATATCCATACCCATTCCTACTACTAACTACTACTAACTACTACTAACTACTACTAACTACTACTAACTACTACAAATTACTACTAACTACTACTAACTACTACTCACAACGACTAACAACAACAACAACACCAACACCAACAACACCAACAACACCAACAACACCAACAACACCAACAACACCAACAACACCAACAACACCAACAACACCAACAACACCAACAACAACAACACCAACAACAACAACAACAACAGCAGCAACAGCAACAGCAACAGCAACAACAACAGCAACAACAAGAACTACTACTACTACTACTACTACTACCACTACTACTACTACTACTACTACTTCTACTACTACTACAACTACTACTACTACTACAACTACTACTACTACTACGACGACGACGACTACTACTCTACTACTACTACTCCTCCTCCTCCTCCTACTACTACTACTACTACTAGTAGTAGAGCAACAACAACAAGAACAACAACAACAACTACAACTACCACTACTACTACCACTACCACTACCACTACCACTACCTACTACCTACTACCACTACCACTACCACTACCACCTACTACCTACTACCTACTACCTACTACCTACTACCTACTACCTACTACCTACTACCTACTACCTACTACCTACTACCTACTACCTACTACCTACTACCTACTACCTACTACCTACTACCTACTACCTACTACCTACTACCTACTCCTACTACTACCACCTACTACCTACTACCTACTACCTACTACCTACTACCTACTACCTACTACCTACTACCTACTACCTACTACTACCTACTACTACCTACTACTACCTACTACTACCTACTACTACCTACTACTACCTACTACTACCTACTACTACCTACTACTACCTACTACTACCTACTACTACCTACTACTACCTACTACTACCTACCACTACCTACTACTACCTACTACTACCTACTACTACCTACTACTACCTACTACTACCTACTACTACCTACTACTACCTACTACTACCTACTACTACCTACTACTACCTACTACTACCTAATACTACCTACTACTACCTACTACTACCTACTACTACCTACTACTACCTACTACTACCTACTACCACCTACTACCACCTACTACCACCTACTACTACCTACTACTACCTACTACTACCTACTACTACCTACTACTACCTACTACTACCTACTACTACCTACTACTACCTACTACTACCTACTCCTACCTACTACTACCTACTACTACCTACTACTACCTACTACTACCTACTACTACCTACTACTACCTACTACTACCTACTACTACCTACTACTACCTACTAATACCTACTACGACCTACTAATACCTACTACGACCTACTACGACCTACTACGACCTACTACGACCTACTACGACCTACTACTACCTACTACTTCCTACTACCTCCTACTACCTCCTACTACCTCCTACTACCTCCTACTACCTACTACTACCTACTACTACCTACTACTAACTACTACCTACTACTACCTACTACTACCTACTACTACCTACTACTACCTACTACTACCTACTACTACCTACTACTACCTACTACTACCTACTAACTACTTCCTACTTCCTACTACCTACTACCTACTACCTACTACCTACTACCTACTACCTACTACCAGCTACCAGCTACCTGCTACCTGCTACCTGCTACCTGCTACCTGCTACCTGCTACCTGCTTAACTGCTAACTGCTAACTGCTAACTGCTAACTAATAACTACGAACTACGAACTACGAACTACGAACTACCTACTACTACTACTACTGCTGCTGCTGCTGCTACTACTACTACTACTCTACTACTACTACTACTACTACTACTACTACTACTACTACTACTACTACTACTATTAACACTAACCCCCCCCCACCCACGGGGGGCGGGGAACATAGCTCCTGTATACCCATACCCATTGGGGGGTGAGGGGGGGGGACCTCGTCATATATGTATATATATATATATATAATTTATCATGTGAATCATGTGGTTGGGATGGCCCCTACCTTAGACCCCCCCCCTGCCAGCATACCTTGGAATAATTGGATATTATTCCAGCCCCATTGCACATATTCTGGGAAAAACATTCCAGTATGTCACACGGCATCTGGAATAATTAGGGTAAATTTAGGGCAACCCCCCCTCTCCATTCATATAAAAATGCAAGTTGTAATCAAATTTGGTATATTTTTGGCATGTGTTGATTGAGGTTGTATTGCCACAAACCACTAGAAACCTAGTGCCAGAAAACCTTTTCAAATAAATTCAAAAGTTTATTGGGATCTTGAAAATTTTGCTCGTTCCTGGTTTCAAAGATGTGCTCCGGCAATGCTCAACCTATCTCAACCTGTGATTTTTTGGGTTCCATTTTGCTCCTGCTATATCCTACCCCCAAGGTTTTTCACCAAACATCTAAAAACATCTAAAAACACCCAAAAGCAAGCACCCATGTCAGGATATGTCAGGATACGTCAGCTCTGGCGTGCTCTGGCAATACCATGCAATATCACGCAATACCATGCCAGATAGAGTACCAGAAAGAATGTCAGAAGATATCAGAAGATATGCCAGATAGAAAAGCACAGGGGTCCCAAGGAAATTATTTATCTTGACTCATTTGTCATATTTATTCCACAGGCCACAGGTCACCCACATATGTCAAACCACCCAGGGGAAACTGGGCATCACCAGGAAACACCTAGGAATTCTTCAAACCATGCATTGGGTCACCAATGTTCATTCAGTGGGCCCATTGGTCTTTGGCTAAAGTGCCCATATTTTGACCACAGGTCACCCACATATGTCAGAACACCCAGGAATAATTAGGCATCACCAGGAAAGGAAAATCCAGGAAACACCCAGGGATTCTTCAAACCATTTATTGGGTCACCAATGTTCACTCAGTGGGATTCAGTGGGTCCATTGGTCTTTGGCTAAGTTACCTTAAGTTACCCATATGGAAATGTCTCCAAAATGGAGTGCCCCAAACTTTCGTTTTTCATCTGAAAAAAAGTTTGGGGCACTCATGTGGGCACCCCGATTTTGAGACATCCCCATATGTTTTCCACAGGTCACCCACATATGTCAGAACACCCAGGAATAATTAGGCACCACCAGGAAATACCCAGGGATTCTTCAAACCATTCATTGGGTCACCAATGTTCACTCAGTGGGTCCATTGGTCTTTGGCTAAGTTACCATATGTCTTCCACAGGTCACCCACATATGTCAAACCACCCAAGGGAAATTGGGCATCACCAGGAAACACCTAGGAATTCTTCAAACAATGCATTGGGTTACCAATGTTCATTCAGTGGGCCCATTGGTCTTTGGCTAAAGTACCCATATTTTAACCACAGGTCACCCACATATGTCAGAACACCCAGGAATAATTAGGCATCACCAGGAAAATCCAGAAAAAGCCCAGGGATTCTTCAAACCATTTATTGGGTCACCAACGTTCACTCAGTGGGTCCATTGGTCTTTGGTTAAATTACCATAAATTACCCATATGTCTTCCACAGGTCACCCACATATGTCAAACCACCCAGGGGAAATTGGGCATCAGCAGGAAACACCGAGGAATTCTTCAAACCATATCATTGGGTCACCAATGTTCATTCAGTGGGCCCATTGGTCTTTGGCTAAAGTGCCCATATTTTAACCACAGGTCACCCACATATGTCAGAACACCCAGGAATAATCAGGCATCACCAGGAAAGGAAAATTCCAGGAAACACCCAGGGATTCTTCAAACCATTTATTGGGTCACCAACGTTCACTCAGTGGGATTCAGTGGGTCCATTGGTCATCCGAGTTTATATGGGGGTTGTCCAAAATTATGGTACCCGAAAACTGCCCTTA